GGGGAATTCTGGGAGTTGAAGTCCACCCATCTTAAAGTTGCTGAGGTTGAGGAACCTTGCTTTAGGTCTTCCAATGGTGCACCCATCGCCATTGTAACTGAGTCCCTCGACCTTGCTGCTCGTTGTCCTTTTCTAATTCCTTCCACCTTTCTCAGCATTAGGAACTTCTCTGGGGATTGTATCATCTGCCTGGATAGAAATTGATTGATTGATGGCGTGCCATCAAGTCAGTGTTCACTCTTAAGGACCACGTAGATTTTCTCCAGGAGGATCCATCCCCAACCTGGTTCTTCAGGTCTTCCAACGGTGCCCCCATCACCGTTGTAATTGAGACCCTCTACCTTGCTGCTAGACATCCTCTTCTCTTTCCTTCCACCTTTCCTAGGATTATAAACTTCTCTGGGAATTGTATAGCTTGCCTGGGTAGAAATTGATCGATTATGTGCCATCAAGTGACAAACTAACTTCTTTGATTAGAGAAAAGAGAATATCTACATTTATTGGTCACTGGATACTCCTTATGGACTTTCTGCGTCAAAATGAAAAAAATTGAACTTGTGATTTATGGCTTTGATGATGAGACAGGATAGATTATAGAACGAAAAGAATCATGATGTAACTTTAGAGAGAGAGGTCGAAATATAATTGTACTTATAACTGCTATTAAAGAATATCAGAAGCCACTTCTTTGTATCTTTTTTCTTCTGTTTCTATTTTTTAATTCCTTTCTTCCTATTTCTATTTTTCTTTTCTTTTCTTGCACTTTTAGCTTTTTTTTAATTTCTTCCTTTTTCTTTGTTCTTCCTTACTTTATATTAGTAATAGTTTTTATCTTTCTTTTTAAAAGTTTCAATAGAAATTGCATAATAAAGAAAAGATTATGTGCCATTGAGTCAGAGTCAGCTCTTAGCAACCATGTAGCTAGACCTTCTCCATGAAGATCTGTCCCCAACCTGGCCCTTCAGGTCTTCCAACTTTGCACCCATCACCACTGTGATTGAATCCCTCCACCTTGCTGGTTGTCCTCTTCTCTTTCCTTCCACCTTTCCCAGCATTAGAGCCTTCTCCAGAGATTGATTGATTGATTGATGTGCCTTCAAGTCAGTATTGACCCCTGGTGACTACCTGAAGAAATCCCTGCAGTTTTATTGGCAAGGTTTTTTGAAAGTGGTTTGCCATGGCCTGCTTCCTAGTTCTAAGAGAGAGTGACTGGCCCAAGGTCACCCAGCTGGCTTTGTACCTAAGGCAGGACTAGAACTCATGGTCTCCCGGTTTCTAGCCTGATGCCTTAACCACTACACCACACTGGCTCTCTCTCCAGAGAGTTAGGTCTTTGCATGATGTGTCTGAAGTAGGATAATTTGAGCCTGATCATTCACACCTTGAGGGAGAACTGGCTGTCCACAGTATTCTCAGGAGTCTTTTCCAGTGTCAAAGTTCAAACACATCAATACTCTTCTTCTCCTCATCTTCAAAATCCAACTTCCGCGTGCACGATTCTGATCTTTGCAAGTATGAGATCATGAGATTTGAATATCTTTTCTAAGCCTTTCATGGCTTCTCTACCAAGTTCTAGTCTATGGCAAATTTCTTCACTGCTGGTTCCTTTGCTATTGATCTTAAAAGGCAGAAGCTCTCCACCGCTTCAATGCAGTATCTTCATTGTCAATTCTAAGTCTGGTCGGTCTACCTGTTGTCATTTGTTTGGTCATCTTTATATTTAATGTTAGTCTCATTTTTTTTCCACTGCGAGAATAGGGATGTGCAGCTGGATTATTTACTGTCAACTTACACCACAGATGACTTTATGAAAACCGTGGGTGTACGCTGTGTTTTCTAATTGTGTGTGTTTCTTGTAATTTGTTTTTAGTGAGTTGGAACGCCTGAGTAACCTTGTGGGCAAACCGTCTGAGAACCATCCTCTCCATAACAGTGGTCTATTGAGCCTAGATCCTGTTCAAGACAAAACACCCCTCTATAGTCAACTGCTCCAGGCTTATAAATGGTCAAACAAGGTAAATATGTACATATATATACGCATAAATATATGGTTCTGTCCATAGGGTGTTAATGTTAATTGTCACTAGTGTTCACCAAACTAAAAATAGTTTTCCTTTGGGCAAGGGAGAATAGTTTGCCTTTGGCATTACTACAGGGAAGATACTGTAAAATCCCATTTGAGAAACGCATTTGCCTGCATGGAACCGGAGACGTTGAACCCGTCCAACACGTGTTATTTTACTGTAACATCTTTAGAGATATTTGTAATGCCTGTATCCTGTCTCTTTTATGTCAGTACCCTGGGTGATTTGACCATACCTATACGTCTGTCCTTTTTTCAGATTGTAAATCATTTGTAACTCAGATTATAGCAAAATACAGTACAGCAGCTGTGAAAATTAGGCATCAGGTGGTGAAAGGTCTCCCACGTTGTAACTTACTTTTTAAATCGATTGTTACAGTTGCCTTTATTATTCTACTTTTATTTAATTGCTTTTATGTACCAGTAGTTCTCGACCTATGACCATTCGTTCAGTGACCATTTGAAGTTACAAAGGTACTGAACAAATGGTGGTTATGACCGGTCCTCGGAGTTCTGGCCATCTCAGCATCCCCACGGTCACGTGATTGCGATCTGGGCGCTTGGCAACCGGCTCGCACTTATGACCAGTTGCAGCACCCCTTGATCGCGTGATTGTCATTTGCAACCTTCCCTGCCAGCTTCCCCAGAAAGTCAACGGGGAAGCTGGCAGGGAAGGTCACAAGTCGCTGGGGTAAGTCTCCCCCTCCTGTGCATTCAGTTGCCCTTGTAAGTTGAGGGCTACCTATAGTAGCTCTGAACTTGGTTGCTTGCTCGCAGTTGTTTCGTTACCCAGCTAGGTAACATCATCAATGCAAAGGAGTGTGGACTTTGCTGCCTGCTTATATCTAGGAGCTCTGAGCTTGCTGGTTTTCTTGCAAACATTGCATTACCCAACTAGGTAGCATCTTCAGGGTGATGATCACGAAACAGGCAGCAAATCCCGCATGGATGATGTTATCTAGTTGGGTAATGCAACGTCTGCCAGCCAAAAACCCAGCTCAGAGAGAGTTCCACTGTTAACGCTGCCTCCTGACGGTCAAGGTATCAGTAAACCCGAAGTCAAACTATGGCTTGACGTCAATCCTGAGCCCATTCGAAACCGAAGCTTTGCCCAGAGGCTTTAGTGTGGTTTAATTCAGCCCCTCCTTTGGGACCTTGTTTCAGATGTCCCATGGTTTCAGAGCCCTTTGCTTGCTTCAAGAGTCTTCCTCCTCACTGTTCTCTGAACTCTGAGATTTAATGTGCCCTCTTGGCTGGCTTTCTGTATTGACTTGTTGCACAATGCAGTTACATGACACAGCACTTTTGCAAGACGGTTTCGATGGCGAGGTTGCACACACACACCCCGCAGTAGCAGCTGCTTTAAATAAGAGCATCTGGAATAATTGAGAAGTCTCTTTGATACAACTTTTGCTTTGCAGGCAAGCGATCGCTGCCTGAAAGGAGTGTGTTTGATAACCGTGTGTGGAAGTGCTTTCTGTATTTAATTTTTAATTTTCGAATCCTTTGTGGCTGGCCTCTTGTATTTTTGATGAGCTGAAGCAAGGCATTTTCTGTGCCTCCAGACTGGGTTGTTCTTGTGTTAATGATTGTACTTTTAAACACAAGACTGAGACAGGATCAAATTGGGGCCTAGGGGGGCAATTCTCTAAGGATCTGGTAATCTGCCCAGAGAGGCTTCATCTGATGATTTTGGCATTTTACATTACTACCCAAGGAATGAGGCTTAGCTCAGGGGAATACACAAGGGATTGCAACCAGAACCACATTCACAAACTGACTCTGCTTGTTACGTTTGTGATATGCAAGAACTTGGAACCTGAAAATCTCTCATACAACCATGTTGGGCACAAACTCAACCTTTGTGTCCTCCTCCTCCTCCTTTTGATAATAGCTTTATTAAGTTTTAAAAAGCAGAAAGATAAAAACAAACACAAACTAACCATCAAGAAAAAGGGTAGAAAGAAAGAAAACTAGAGGTAAAGGAAGAAAACCAAAATGCTGAGAAATAGAAAAGGAGAAAAACAGAAATGCAAAAAGAATGACTTCCGACTTCTTATACAGCAGATATAAATAAAACAGAAAATAACCCCTTACTCTAAAACTACATCTTAACCTACATCTTTTGCATAGTCTATTAATTTTACTAATCATCAAATCCATACCACATCGATTCATTTTTTTTCTGTTTCCCGCAAAAAGTCCCAGAGGGGCTTCCAACTAGCGTTGAAGTTAGTCCGTGTTTTTTGTCTAATCAAAGCTGTCAATTTCGCCATCTCAGCTAACTCCAACTCCAGTTGTCCATTGTCGGTAAGCCTTCATGTCATTCTGAACAGACCTGGGGCAGCCCACCAACCCTCTAAAAGTTACTTTTCCCTTGTAATGTTTAAGAAAGGGGAACAGGTTTAAGTCTGCAGTGAAGAACTTTATTTACTCTGTCATTGAAACAAATCAATTTGAGACTTTGTCCTAATTCCACTCTGTTGGGGGTGGGGGTTGGAGTCAACCCTTTGAGGTAGACCAGGTCAGGAAACAGAAGCTACTGGAACCTCTCTTTATTGTTATAGGGTATGATAATAGAAGCCTGATAGAGAATCTCTTCCTCCCCTCTTATACTGAAGCTAATCAAGATAGGGCAATCTTGAGTTTTTCTTCACTTTCTCTTGTCTATCTGGGCTAAGCTGATGTTTATATAATGGCCATTGCGTTCCTTCTCCAAGGCCATCTCCATTCTCCTCTACAGTAGCATGGCCCCTAAGTAATATAGTCAACCCTGTTTTATAGCCAACCCCTGCCTGTTAAACAGCAAAATCTTTGGGCATCTGTTGTTTTCAGCTGCTCAGAGAGTAATAAAATGGTGTTGTAGGCAGCATGGCTATTATTTTATTATTATTTTTTTTGGCTCGTTTTGCGACACTTGTAAACCATTCTAATCAGTGAAAACTCTGGATGGCGAACAATGATGCAGACTACAAGCAATAAGAAACAGATGAAAACAGCAGCAACAATACGGATGCGTGCCCTAGAGGGGTACCGCAATCTACTTGAGCTGAAGGCACAAATGGAGTAATATTGTTTTAACCAGGCTGTGATGGAAAAGTTATAAAGGGATGGAATATTCTGAAGTGCAGCATTTGGTGTAGACGAGAGAGATCAGTTGTTATCTTCCAGGCTGGAGAACACACGGTGTGAAGATTAGCAAGCCTGCTTCCAAGTTTGACTAGAACATTAGCATTTCAGTAGTGGCTTGGGGCCAAAATCCAGATATTATAGGAGGGGGTTCTGGAAAACTAGTGGGGGTGGTAAAAGAGATTATGGAGAGGAAAGGATAAGAAGAGAAATGGGAGAAGGGAGAGAAAAAAAGAAGGACAATGGCCAAGTATAGTGAAAAATGAGAAGTACTATAGAAGCTGGTTTTGGGAATGGGACCATGATCTGGAATGGTTGAGGACTCTTGAAGCAGCCAATTGTGTTGTGCTTTGGATTCAGTTCCAAAAGGATGATTTGGAGTGCATGAAAGCGGAGGCATCGATTTGTCTGCAACCCGTTAAAGCAGCAGTGTCTTCCCTAGGATCCCAGGAAAAGATGCAGCTGCTTTAAAGAGTTGCAGATCTCCAAATCACTTTTCTGGAACTCCGTCCACAACACCGCGCAGCCCCATGAACCAGCATTGTTTTGTAGCCAGTGTTGTGTTTCTATGTGTTTATAATCGGGCTGCTTCGTGTGTTCCGGGATCCTCCTTTGCCTGCGCTAGCCTTGATCTGTTTGCAAACAGATGCAGTCATGAGCAACCCGGGCGCTTCTCTGTTGCACGCCTAGAAGAGCAAACGCATTAAATTGAAAGAGGGGAGGAAAATAACACAGCTCTGCAACATTTGCTTTGTGCCAAACCCTAAATTGTTTTGCATAATATAGGTACAGGGAGCTAATTGCTTGTCAGAGCATATGGGAACATAGATTATATCCCTAGTCTTCATTTGTAGATTTTTTTTTTCAAGGAAAACTACTTAATTTCAGCAATAGTTTTCTTTCCCTCCCTTTTCTGGGGCTTTGAATACCCTAAAGCAGGAGTATACAGTTTTTTTTCAAACCAAGAACATGTGGTGTTGTTGGGACCAACCCTTAAGTGGGCAGCAAGGACAAAATGATGCTTGAAGTAATTTCCATTTAATTAAGATTAAGCTAGTTAATTGCGATAAATATCACTGCTCCCATATATTCAATAATTCTATCCCCCTTGGATGTTTGAGATCTGGTGACATTGGTACAAAGCCTGCAGGGTGGTGTATTTGTAGGAAATGAATGGTGCTCTCCCACAGATTATGGTTTTTTAAAATGATTTTAATAGTTTTTATTGTTTTGATGACTCCTGTCCTTACGTTTATGGGTTGTTTCTTGTGTTTTGTGGGTGGGGGTTAACTTTGTTAGCTGCTCTGTAAGTCAGAGAAGTGAGATGGGTGGCTATATAAATTTTAATAATAATAATGATTTGGTAGCCCGTTGTAGAAAGGCACTGCAAATCGTGCCACCAGTGCTGAGCAATCGCAATATATTTATTTGGGAGGCATATATATTGTAGAGTAGTTTAAGAACGAGTTCCATTCCCAAGATCTGTCCTTAAGTCGAACTTGTCTATAAGTTGGAACAGTATCATAGTATAATCCTGTATAAGTAGCATTGTGTACTGAACTCGAATCATGGTGTATTTAATTCGGATTTTGCTACAATGGGCCATCCTTAAACCAGGCATTCTTAACATATAAAAGCAGAGCCATGTGGGTTTCAAGGTCACAGAGCTCACTTACCTTGGTTTCCCACAAAATCCAAATCACGAATCAAGATCAAAAGAGCATTGCCGGGTTCAGACATAATGGGCGTTATGTATTAATGTTGTCTGAATGAGGTTGGAGGATCTGGACCTCCTTTTCTGGC